CCATTTTCACAATCAATCGTTATTTCTGAGATCCACCATCCTGGCTCAGATGATTTTGTTTAAACGCACCGGACCTACTCAGCCGGGTGGAAGTGTCCGGACTCAACATGTTGTACTTTCATACAGGTCATTGTACAGGATGGTGTCATATTGATTGCACCCCAAGCTTGATGTTTTAGCTTGACAATATCTCGTCGCAGGTCTGCTACCGGTCCCTGAAGTTGACTTGTTTGATGATGAAGCAGAGAGAAGTAGAAACTTCTACCCCTACGGCTTCGATTATATTCAGCTGGAAGCTTGGCAGCAGCCGACACAAGATGTTCCTCCTTAAGCTGGGTTTAGACTAGGCAAGTCAAATGATCAACTCAGTTGAATTCAATTGGCTTGAAAAGTTGAGCCTGGTTGAACTTTTTTCAATTCAAGTGAGTTGATCAAGTCAGTTGAATGGCATAGTTTACACGTTCATTTCGCGTTCAAGTCAGTTGAATTCAACTGACTTGATCAATTGACTTGCCCTGTCTAAACCCAGCTTTAAAGTTCGGTTTTTACACATTCAATCGGGTTCTCCACAGTGATGCCACATATCATTTATCATTAGCATGAGCATAAGCATGATTGACCGCCCACGGTTGCTACTCTGTTATTGCCGGACCAGCTGTAATTACACAGAGAACCAATAGACGATGCTTGGAACTAGCAATCATCCTCAATGTGTAAAAACAAGTGATCTCGAATTAGGCAATACCAGCGCCAGCCGCGCCTGAACGCAGGTCAAGAAAGGAATGGGTAGGAATTTTTTGACGTGACACTCGCTTTGATGGAAGCCGAGGAGTCCTCTGCACTTCCACGAGGAATCACAGGGATGTGGGTAAGAGGGTTGGGTTAGCAGCAGGATTCGTTTTGGTAAACGATAAGCTGAATTGATGTCCTAACGATCGTATAACGCAAAGGTGCTTGGGATTGAACCCACCATTGACCATTGACGAATCTTGAATGTTGATGTGCTTGAGATTAGACTCATGATGTTCTGCTCAGTAAGCAAAAACGGTTGCTCTAAGGCCACCGAGCCTCTCATATCACATTATAGCGTTAACACATTTATCTTTAACCATACAGAAACTGGTTCTTCCTCGATAGAGAAAATTGTTCGGCTGCCTTTCAGTTTATCCTTCATTCCTTCTACGGCTTTCAGTTCCGAGTCTACCTTGGAATAATTAACACTCGTTCGGCAATCTGTTTGTAGGTGAGGATGATTATTTTTTGACGTAGGATTACGTCTTTCGGCAACATATTGGGGGTGCAATTTCAAAAAACCAAAATTGACCGCGTTACGAAAATTGATCAGGTTTTGACCCTTTTATAACTCTGTCAATAGCGGGTGAATATTAATTCTAAACATGCCAATCGATTGGAATGTCATCTACGAATCTACTGAAATGAATACTTTATCAATTATCCAAAGGTCACTATTGAAAATTGCACGAATGTGCAACTGTTGCTATAATAATGAAAATTATCACCGATGGGCTGCGAAAAGCGCTTTCCCTATCACAAATTTAAAAATCTAATTCACTTAGATTTCACTGCACGTGTGGTGAGGGGTGGTGTCCAGTGGTCATCATCGCTACTGATCGGATTTCAGTTGCTCGTCGTGAGCCACTGTGGGCCATCTCTGCCAAGCGCGTCATTGTTCCAAACAACAACATGATAGCTCAGCATTAGTCAACCATCACGACAAAACGGTCCTTTTCAGGACGAGTTATAACGAAAGAGATAGTCGATGAAGATAATCGATCAAGGTAGATTGGTCTATTGGCAAAGTGACGCGAGACTTGTCAATGTCAGCAATCGGATGTCAGTTCCAATAAGTTTAAATCTAACAAACCATTTATTTTTAACGCAACTAATTTCAAAACCACAAGGTCGGTTGTGGCATGAAAGTGATCTGCTTTTGATCCAGAGATGATGGATTTTGATTCTTAATACTCCAATCGATAGAAAATTTTTCTACAAATCTTTTAAAATTAAGACTTTATCATTTTTCAAAATGTCACTATTGAAAATTTGCACGAATGTGCAACTGTTGCTATGATAATTAAAATCATCATCTATAGCCTTTTTGATGCAATAAAAATCTTCCCGAATGTTCTTAAAATTTGCATCAAAAAGCATAAAAGTAGGTACCGTCCGGTATGCTCAGATTCTATGATTGATGTGTTTTCCCTAACACAGACTTAATTTCAGAATACCATTTCCGGTGTGAATTCCACAGAATTGTTCTTAACTGAATTCCAATCCAACTACATTTCGTAATTCTACGTCAAATCCATGGTCGTGCCTTGGATACAACCTCTTACTTTTTTTCTGTGGTGGTCACGCGAGAAACGAAATTATTTTTTTTCTTAGATAAATATGTGGATGGGAAATAAATTATACATATTACGAGTAATCTTCAAGTGTTTTCACGTGAAAAATGCTTTAAAAATATGTTTTCATTTTCCGTCATATACGTCATTGGCACCTCGGTTGATGTGTTTCATGAAAAACGAAACTAGCAAAATCGAGCGCTCTTTCGCTCGTCCGTTTCACCGAAGCTTGAAAGAAAGACCAATGGAGCGACAGGAGAACGAGAGACAAGCGATTGCACATTTTTGTTTGTGCACGCCGACTGAGCCAGCAGTCTCTTCGTCGCACCTATTCAGTCGATTGAAGCTGATATTGTGACTACGATGTGTCTTCGCCAGACCTAACGTATAATGTATGAATGTCGTCTGTTTTGTAGTATTTTCAATAGTTGGTTTATTGACATGAGTAATCCGTATTTATTTTAAGTAGCTAGTTATACGAAACGAAACTAGTTTCATGCAAAGTGCGAATTTATTTCGTTGCTTAAAACAACGTATGAATTCGTGGCTATAACGGACTACATTCAGGTATTTTTTACACGGGGGATATGTACCGTGTTATAATAACCATGTAAAAAAAACCAAACAAGATTTTGATTTTCCCATGCTAAAAAAAAAAACATTTAATTTGATGCCATTCGTAATGATACACTCAGACAATTTTTCACTTAGATGTTACATGAAAACATACATAGATTGTTTCCATCTAGTTCTTTGCGTAAATTTTAAGTTTTTCATATGTAGATCGGTTTGAAAGTTCTGATTTCAATCCACATACAACTCTAATAGCTAGTATAGGCTTTGGAAGTAAATTTCACTTTATTTTCATGTAACATCTAAGTGAAAATTACTCACAGTGAAAAGATCTTTGCCCAATCCACTAGAAAGCTACATAGATTTTATGGTACTTTCTAAGTAAATTTTATTATGTTCTCACTTTAATTTCAGTAAATTTCTTCGTAGCATCATCCATTGTTAGGATTTTAAAATTATTTTTCGAAATAATGAAAATTGTATTGTTTAGAAAGCTGATCATATATGTCTTATGTGTTCCAGCAGCCTCCGGCCAGCTGAACTTCTTCTGCCAATCTTTCGGGTGAGATCATTCCTCGTCCATCGATTCCTCGTTCTAAAAACATACCATAAATAAATGATGTATCATGACAAAAATAAAACATCATACTTATCAGAAAATTGAATAAATTCAATGTTATTTGTAAATCCAGCAATGCACCGTTCAGACGCCATGTTACGTTTTGATTGTGCCATCACCACTCGTAAATTTTCACACTATAAATTCATGTAGAATCTAAGTGAAATTATCTTACATGAAATTCACTTGAATTTATATATTTCATCTAAGTTTCAAAGCTTATCACAATGCTTTTAATATGATTTGTAATAAATTTTATTAACGTCATGTACTTATCATATGATTTATAATATCTGAAGGTTACGTGTTTTTTCCAGTGAAATTTATGTGAGAATTTTTTTGAGTGTAGAATTTTGTGGTCCAAATAGACATATTTTGGAAATTTCTGTATTTACATAAAAAATTGTGATTTTTTTTTAAGTATGCCATTCGATTACCTTCGGCTTGAAACGGATAATGTATTTCGAATCGAGTCGCTAGGATGTAAAGCTATCGATAAATCGTTAAAAATGTACCGTGTAAATTGCGACTCAGAAAAAACCGTGTAAAAATAGACTTGCGTGTATTTCGTTACACAGTCAACTCTCCATATCTCGATATTGGAGGGACTAGAGAGGGTCTAGTATAAGAGAAGAGCGGATTTAAAACAAACTGCCATGGCAGCCTATGTCTAGGTGATTTCTAGCAACACTGCTAATGCAATTAGGCGCAGCTCGATTGGCTCTGGCTTTGACAGTTCATTTTGCTCAAAACCTGCCAGTTCGCTCCTTTTTTATTCTAGACCCTAGGAAGGACCATCAAGATATGGAGATATTGAGGTATAGATTTAGATTAGCCTACTAGACCGTTTGAAGGGACCGAGAAAACATCGAAATATATAGAAAAAAGTGGTCATAGATATAGAACATCGAGATATGGATAGTTGATTGTATAAACCAAATTATACTTCCAGTGTATACTCCAAACAACTTAATCTACAGTCCATTCAAGGTCATCCATATTCAAATCAATGAAAATCTGTCACTCACAAATGTAAAACAACCTTCGCCAGAACCGAATTTAATTACGAAAAATAACCCAATAAACATCAATTTAACAAATTGACACACTCCAGCCTGTCAGCCGGCTATCACGAAATTGCACTTACTCACGGCCCTAATTTTAACGCGAGAGCCACACGCCGCCGTTGCGCCGCATAGATAACACAAAAATATCACCCGGAGGAGAGGTAGAAGCAAGTGCAATCGCTTCGTTCTGTACTGGAATCTTCGAACGGCGTTGGATGTCCCAACACCAACAACACACATACTTTCGCTCACTCACATCACGTGGCCTGCAGAGAAAAATGTTGTCACTTTTTACCTGCTAGTGCACAGGTCTAGTACAGGTAGTTAGCCGAGCCGATCCCGCAAACGAATCCACCCAAAAACCAGTAAACTTACGTATCGGCCTGAATCAGAAAGTTCTTATCATCGTACGAATCCATCTCGCCCATCTCCAGCACGATGATACCGTACAACCGTTCGGCCAGCTTCCGGACGTCCTCCTCGGTGACGACGGGGCGAATCTTCGAGCCCGGTTTCAGAGTCTCCGGGACACACTCTCCGCTTTCACAACCATTTTTTCTCAGATGGTCATCACCATTCGCGGCGGTGGCGGCCGCCGACAGGTCCGTCGAGGCCCGCTTCTTGTGGATAGATTTCATTTCCATGTTGGACACTCAATCTCCCTATCTCTATGCGTATCGTTTGTTATGTTTTTTTGATTTGATTGACTTTCACGACGCGAACCTTCCTCGGGATCGAGCTGAATACGACTGAATGCCAAGTGCAAGAGTCGCGACACTAATAACTTCGCCCAGTCAGCGGCGCGGCGCAACGTCCAAGTCGCACACGCTACATACTTACTAGCTACGGCGTATGTAGGTATGAATTGTACGTGTTTTAGGTCTCGTGTGCCGAGAAGAAGATAGTCCCCAGTCCAGTTCAGATCAGTTGGGACTGGGAGCGCCGAGTTTGTTGTATCTGATAATGGCAAACGACGACGATAAATGAAACTGCCGATGGATGGGATTCTCTCCGACTATGCGCCCTATTCGAGATTGAACGAAGGATGGAATTCAGATTGAAAATGAATTATAAAACAAACAAATAAACATTATGTTCGGTAGGAATGAATAACGAGGAATGATATATACGTCAGCCGTCAGTCGTACTAATCGCAGTGAGGAATTTCAGACGTTTATAAAAAAAAGTTGAATTAGATGTGGACGGATTTTGAAATCGAATATTATACTTCAATATTTCTAATTAAGGTTAGTCAGTAACTATGGTGCTGGAGCTCCTATGTTAAAATTAATTGATCGTTATTGAAGAGCTTTCAGAATGTTGAGGGCATTCCTGGTAGGCTTTGTGAAATTCGGCTAAAGGTTGGTAGTCTGCAGGGTCATGAATTCTGAACTTTGAAGACCGAACCGGTGAACTTCATGAGAGGGTTTTCACGACAAGGCCAATGTTGAATGCAAGATTGGAAAGATGCAAAGGTTGTTCTTGTAAATGTTCATGATTAGTCCCGGGAGCTTATGAGTAAATATGATAAATAAATGCATATGGTTGTGAATTATATAGGAGACTTTAAAGCTGTATTCAATCCTAAGCGGTATTGGCACGCGCGGGCAGGATTTAGATTAGTAAGAGATATAAAAGTATTAGTTGATTTATTTCACGCCAACTCGACAAATGCTTCGCAGCACCTTCATAGATTTCAAAGAAACATTGTGGATGTAAAGATGTATTCTAGTTTAGAAACTTTGCATATTTATTTTATTCAAAACAATCTTGACTGCCATTTGAAAAAAAGGCCGAACTTTTTGGCAACTATTTACTACAAAAAATATAACTCAAAATTGATAAGTCCTACAAAAATGTTCTCCGAGGTTGATTTGTTGCTGTTGAAAGAGTGTGACGTCAAAATCTGTCACCCATTTCAACAGATGGAGAACGAAAGAGACGACAAATTCACTGGGCCTAATCTGCTTACACTCATGGATTTTCCATACGTGAATTTGGCTCCAAATATCAACAAACCATCGTTGCTTGTTGTCGTTTGGAACCAGTTATGCGAGGTAGGCGAAGATTTTTCGTATTTGACAAGTGACCGGTAGTCACTTAACTGCTCTTCAAACATTAACTCAGCCGGAGAAACCTCAACTTAAGGTCACAAATTGTAAGCTACTTCATTTCTCAATCAGTTCAGCAGGATGCAATTCCGTGAGCACTGTGAATCAACTTCACTCTGCACGTTTCAGCTAAGGTTAAGATCAACATATCGTTGAAGCACATAGTTTGAAAAGTAACATTTTGAACCTCATAATTGTAAGGATGAGCTGCTTAATCTCTCGAATAGTGTCTAAATCTACCTAGACAGTTCTTAAGATTAAAATTAATATTAACTCACTCGGATTACAAACTCATTTCAAAAACTTTACAAATATCAAATCTATTTCGAACTGAAAACGGCTACGTGCTTTCATAATGAATAAGTGATAACCATGGGGTTGGTCACTCCACACAGTGTGCCAAAATCAAGCTTGGGCACACCTGAGAAAACTCTTTGGCACTCATGATTACAATTTATCTGATGTTTAAAGTTACTGGCAACACTGATCTATTATTGAACCTGCGCATTCTGAATGTGTCTAAATATGTTAATGTTGTTATCACAATCCAATTTTCACAAACCACAACCGTGAAACCACAAACGAAGTGACAGACGGAGCGGCTCGAAATTTGATTTGACGCACTTACATTTAAAATTTTCGAGTGTACCTCACGGCAACACTATCTACTCATATGTACTAGATTAAAGTAGGGGGTACCACCTGTTATCTCTTTTTCTCTAACGAAAATTGAAAGGGAGAGCCTGTTGTCAAACAGTATGTCATTATGTCGTCTGCACTTCTTTTGTATAATGAAAGACCATAGGCCAAAATGATTAGGGGTGAACACAAAGGGTTAACATTTGCTTACAAGTACACGATGTTGAGCAGTCAATGACTTGCGCTTGTTGCACCCAAGCTGCCTGTTGCGATATCAGTTTTGTCTGCTTCGGCTTCTTCTTTTCTTCTGCAGAACCAGACAGTGCGAGTACTGGTTGTGTTTTATCATGTCAAACCCTCGGCCAAACCAACCGATGGAATACTAATCCGAGAGACGATTTCTTAGGCACATTGCATTTACCGCAGTAGATCGTCACTTGCCGGTGCATTTTCATGGTTACAATCACCGTGACAGTAGTGTCGTACAGATCGACCACTGGATCGATATCAACCCGATAGGTAAGGCCGGCATGCTTCGCGTAGTGGCGCTCCCTCATGTCGCGGGGAATCCTTTCCAAACAGGCGGCGCATTGAAACGAATATGCGAATCGATCGGCTTCCAATTACTGCTGTGTGTGGCGTTTTCGTTTGGCAACTCGAACCGGTTCCGGAGAGGTAAAACATTTTCCGGTACGGGTGCGGGTAGTGGAGCTAACATTCGTTTCGGAGTGGATGTCCCTGTCAAATTGATTAATTGAACGAGATCATCGTCATCGACAAGTACCAGTTATCAAACTATCCAGTCATCATGCAGAAGAAGTTTTCAACGGAGTAATCTTTTCCACCTATGCAGCACAAGTTCGGTTAACAAGCTAAGGTTCAACTCGTGCCGTATGACTCAAAATTTCTAGTTTGAAGAGTTTTCCTAGACTCGGATCTTAATTATTTTGTAAGCATGAAATCTTAACAGCTGTTCGAAGTCTCAGAATTTTGAAAGTTATTTCTTCTTCTTCTTCTTCTTCTTCTTCTTCTTCTTCGCATTTCAAGCTTATTGCTTATGGCATATTAGCTTATTGCGTGCTCTCAAGCGTGTTCTAGATGCACTTCCACAGTTATTAATTGAGAGCTTTCGATGTCTGCTACCATTTTTGCATTTGTATAATTGTGTGGCAAGTACAATCATACTCTATGCCCAGGGATTCGAGAAATTTTACAACCCGAAAAATTCCTAGACCGGACTGGGAATCGAACCCAGTCACCTCCAGCATGGTCTTTCTTTGTAGCTGCGCCTTTACCGACTGAGCTAAGGGAGGCCCAGAAAGCTATTTGCTCAATCCTGAATGTTGAATTTCTTGAAAGGAGCCTGAACAAATGTTTAATCTCTGTATTACCTATGTAGATAATTTCTATATTCCTAGAAAACATTAGATATCTTTTTATATTTTTTTTAGATTGAATTTGGGTTTTATCATGCGATATTGCCTGTGATCTTACTTGAGGTATTTTATCATATTTATCTATTTCAATTAATCCGGGAAAACTAGGTTAACAACCGGAAATAACCGAAAACAGGTATTTAAGTTCTTGAATAGAAAGACCAGAGTGTATTTGTTTCAAGCCCGTTAACTTAAAAAAATAGATTATACAATTTGCCTTTTTCCTTTGTCTATGATATCGAGATAACATAAATTTTCTGAAGTAACGAAAAAATTAAACTACGTTTCCAATAGCTTGGCTTTTTTGCTTCGCCATCTTGAAAGTTTTCCAAGTCTAAGATGTTGAAAAATGGTCTAAGAAACTTTCGAAGCGTAAGAGATTTTTAAAAAACCTGAAGACCTGGCCGGTAGCTTTAGTATCTGTCCAAACATCGAAAAATTATGTAGTAGAACCTTTTTTTCAAAAGTTCTTTTCCTAGTCCATCAAATTGTATTTTTTACAAGTCCGGAATCAAGAAATTTCCAAGCCCAGATTTTAGAGAAATTCTATGTCAAAATCATGAAATCTTTTCTATATTTTAGAAACATTTAAATTTTTCTAGGACTGTAAATTATTCTAGGTTTTCTTAATTTGTTTGTAATAGAGATCGCGAATTACTAAGTCCCAGCATTAAACAAAAATGTCCGATATCTCTAAAATGTATACCAGAATCATGCTTGGCATACGCAGTTTTGGCTTATTTGCTAACAACTTTGCACACAGTTGACGAAACATAGTTCTTTTTGAAGCAGTCGATAGAATTGAATTCAAGCTTGTTATAGATACGTAAAAAAGTAGATTTTAATTCTAGTAATACACTGTAGTTGTTTTTGCGTTGTAAAACTGAAGTGAGAAATTCTCGCTGCACATCTCGGACTTTAAGTGTAAAAATTCATTGGTGTTGATTCAAATGTTAAGCTTTACCTACTCCTTGCATATCTATAGTTAACGATGATCCTAATCTATCAATTACTTTAAAAAAAAACTAATTTCAACAACTGAGTGAAAAGTTATTAACAAATGAGCAGTTGGTGTGTACACCTGTGCATGCCAAGGATGACCAGAATCTTACAACTATTTTCAAGATCAAGATTTTAAAACATAAACGCATGTAATATTGTCTTTCTAAGTGAGACAATTTGTCTCGTTCCAGAATAATGATAATTTTTCTTGGACTACAATCTAGAACAGTTATCTAGGTTCCAGAGATATGAACATTTGTCTATGTTCGAAGTTTTACAGAAGTTTCTATATTTGAGATCTTTAAGATTGCTTGTCTCAAAATTGACAAATTTGTCCTAGACTTTGAGCTTTTCTCTCTGCACCTCAATTTTTCTCAATTTCAAGATTTCCTAATTAATGACTATGTTCAATCGTTCACATCCCGAGATTCATTCATAACCAATTCGCGTTCGGAATCTAAATTCAACTTA